CGCAGTGCTGCTCTCGATGTCAGTGAACACAAGCGTCACGGGGTCTGTGGGCTCCTTCGGGGCGTTGTTGTTGTCACGGGCGTCTCTCCAACTTCCACAGCAAAGTATTACAACAATTATAACAGCCAAGGCGAACAAAGCAGTACCAACAGAAGCAGCACCAATCATATACTTCCAGTTGGTCTGTGTTGTGGCTTCCATACCTTCGACGTAGAAAATTACTTGTGAAGTTGGCTGTAGGATTGCGGGCACTGTGGGGTCGAGTGCACGCGCCATTGACCATACGAGCAGCGTGGGATCTCCGTAGTTAGAACCACAGTGCTCAGTAGGTGCCTCATCCCCACAATCCACATTATCAAAAAAAGATCCGTAGTGCATGTCATCCACAGTCACCATGACATTGGTGTAGAAAAAGTCAGCCAGATGCTTTGCACCAACCTTGTCCATTCGGGCAGCAACTGAGCGCATCAGACTTACAGTGGCGAAGCTCCTCAGCGCCAGCGGAGTCCACTTCGTCTTCTCCTCCACAGCAGCGTGGAACTTCTGCACCGTCTCAGACGTCGTGCTCTCGTCTGCCCAGTGCGGCAGGCTCGTCGCGAACACAAGGCGCCCAGCAGCCGCACTCCCATTGAACGCAGCAACAAACTCACCGTACAGCAACGAGAACTCCGTGAACAGCACAAACACACGCACACCGCTGTGCTTCGCCAGGTGACCCGCGACCACAGCGACATCGGCAGCAGCGAGGCCCACGACGAACACATCGCCATCGCGAGGCAGGTGGCTCTCCAGCGCGTCACCGCCACCCAGCAGCGCGGACGACAGCAGCGACCCATTAAACGTCACAAGCGACCGCCGTAGCACATCAGCAACAGCAGCAGCCCCGTCGCTGCGGATCACAGCGTGGGCGTTGGCGACAGTAGTGTTGCCGAGGTACTGCGCAACCACAAAGAACTCCTGCTCCAGCGTCGGTGACAGGTGAATCTCGCGCCGGCGAAACCGATTAACATGCGACTGGAGAGGCACCGGGTCAATGAATGTGATACCTTTCGTGTTCAGCAGATATTTGGGGAGAACTCCAACCACACAGTCAACATATCGCACTTCAAGCTCTTTGGTCAGGGCAGCACTGGCATCTGACACCGGGGTATTTATCGCTCTGGCCGACATAAAATGAAAACTTCCCAAGATTAGTTGATTGCCAATAGCGGCTGTGGTACCGTACGTTATGTCCTCCATTGCCCTCACAGCGTCATGCCGGTCAGTCATAACCATCATAATTAAGCCGAACGGAGACAACATCACTAAACTCTTAGCGTAACATTCCATCGGGTCGAGCAGTAGTGTTCCATCAATAATACGCTCCACAGCATAGTCCTCCACAAAATGCTTAACATAGACTGCACGCCCACCCTGGTTGCAGCGACAGACGACACCGTTCGAATCGGCAATATCGCTGCAATCATCCCCGAAGTCACCAATCACAAGATCATCGATCTTATACCGGCGCTGGTCGAAGAGAGACCTCTGAAATTTCGTGTTGTTTTCAAGCACCTCAGGGACGCTAACAGCCCGACTGAGCACCTCACCAGCAATCCACCCAGTGACCATCAACTCGCCGTCGCTGCCGTCCTTGAGAAAGTGGTCCGTGCTATTGTATTCGTCTGTGTGGTCCGACAGATATTGCGTCATCTCCT